AGCGAATTTGCCATTTCAAAATTGCTTGTTATCGTTTTCAAAAGTGTTTTAGCAGTGAATTTTTTGGCTGATTGTTAGAGTATTTGGTGTCATTTGTTATGCAATTTCTGCAGCTCAGTTGTTTCCGATGTACATAGTTCTGATAAGAAGTTTTTATCTTTTAGGTTGATTGTTTGATTTGTCGTTAAGAGTAAATACTACATTCGGTGGTGCGCATTTGTTCAAACAGCTAACGACATGAAAGTTAACATAGATGAACATTTTTTCTGGTTCGTTTTGCCTGCACTAAAACTCCCAGTTAATGTTTGTTTGGGCAGTTGTTACATCTTTTTCTGAGTTTTTATCATAGATTGTGCGCTAGAAGTTTCTGATACACTTTTATTTCAGAAATAAAAAATGTAGCTAAATGATTGATTTGATAGGGGGCTTGAAGTTCAAATTTCGTTCTTCAGTTCTGTTGAGTTTAAATCTAACATTATAATCTTTCAGTATTTTTGATTGCCTTGTAGTTAACTTATTGGCAAGTTATACGGCGTTAAGATTGTCCGAAGATTCTGTTTTTTAGTAAATAGTTGAGGTTGTAGTCTCCCATAAGAACAATGTTTAAATTGTATGATTGCGTGAAAACCTTAAGTTAAGCTATTTCTTCCATAAGTTCTGTTTTGTTAGATTTATTCAGGTTATTGGAAGTATTTACAAGTATTGGTTTTTCGTCTTCGTTTTTTGATGCGTTAAAGTTTACTCAGATCCGGTCATGTTTCTGTTGGAACAAACATAACTTTGCGCGTAGTTTAGGCTTAAGGTCTTGCGTAGTTTGGGCTTCATTGTCTGGAGATTATGAAGCCTAAACTACGCCCGCTACTGTTTTAAATAATATGACAGATCTTCCTTTTGTTTTTCGCCTGCGACTGCTGGTTTATCAGAAAGTGACACAATGATCACTATTTAGTGTCCAGAAGTTGTCATTGGAGTCGTTAAACCCTGTCTCGGAAAACTCATGAATTGTGTTCAATTGACATGTATAATTTATTTCTTTGACTAGTTCTTTTGTGTTAGCTCCTGCAGTTTTGATGTAGGATTTTTATGCTGATTTTGTAGTTTTTTGTGGATTTGGGTAAATATTGCTGCTGAAAACTAGTAGTTTTGATAATTTTTTAATATCAATATTAACGTTAGTAATCTTAATGCACATGAGAGGCACTATAGTCATGATAAGCGAGCGCTTCAGAGGCACACAAGTAGACTGTTTAGTAAAACAGATCGAGAAAAATATTTTTAACTCGAATTTGCTCATTTTTCGAAAAAAAAAAAGAAATATTTTCTTGATTATTGTTACACATAATCACAAAGAAGCTAGTTATAATGTTAATTTCATCATTGTATTGACGAAACTTAAAATACCCGACTTATAGCCGATTTCTTCCTAATTTGTTTTAGCATAATATTCCCCCATAATCACTTATGAGTGATTTAAGGCATAGCGTAGTTTTGAAAAGTATTTAGCTTAGTTTTGCGTGGGCGTTCTAGGGATACATCCGATTATAGAACTGTTTTGGCTACGGTTATAAAAGTTATTTACTGCTTTTGGGCTGGGTAGGTTTTTTAAGTACTAGCATTTAAAAGGTTAAACGCAGATATGTATGAACGGGACATCATACTCATCATTTATGTGTATAATGTCCCAATAGAGAAAGCTGTTGTTGTTGCTAGGGACACCATACTCATCATTTATGTGCATACTGTCCCAATAGAGAAAGCTTTTGTTGTTACTGCTTTTGGGCTGGGTAGGTTATTTAAGTACTAGCATATAAAAGATCTAAAGCAATTATGTATGAATGGGATATCATACTCATCATTTATGTGTATAATGTCCCAATAGCGAAAGCTTTTTTATCGAGAATGCTGTTGTAGGGAAAGCTGTCATTGTATTTAATTTTAGAACCTGATACCCAGATTTAAAGCTAAATGCATGTACTTTTAAAATTTTCATGTTGTGTAAGAATATTTTAATGTCCCCCGTTGGTGGTAGTTATTTTGCAGACTACTATTTTGGACAATTTTTTCATTCGCTGTTTTGTCGAGAACTCAGTCTGTTTCAAATTGTCTAAAAGATTGAGTATTCTTGTAGCCATCTGTTATAACCGCGCATTTAAGTTCCGAGCTAAGGTATTCAGTTAGCACTTGTTTTACTCTGGACTACTGCCACTAAGTGTTTTGTATTATCTTTTTTGGTTCTAATTCGAGCTATAATATGGGAACTCAGAAATTAGTTTTTCAAGCATCCTTCGGAATTTTGTTAAATAATTTACGTATGATCAGGGTTGGCAAAATGTAAGTTAAAAACAAAAATAACAAACTAACTGTTATTTATCGGAAAAAACATGTTATTTTTGTTAATTTTTAATTAAATTAACATCAACAAGAGTTGAGTTTCTTGAACAGAAACGCCAAATTTCCGGCTTTCTCAACACCGAGTTGAGCACGAAGCTTCCCATACGTCAGGTGAGATTTTTCGCTCACGTGAAACTGCAATTGGTTTGAAGTTTTTTTTCATCCGTTCGGGATTCGCTACAATCGTATCGGAACAAGCATGCAGTATAGTTGCGTTGTGTTTTTCTAAGAATTACTCATATTTCTAAGAGATAGCTAACATCACTGTTAGAAATTATAAATAACACTAAGATAAATAACACTGTAAGTTAAATTCAATGTTAAATAACAATGTTAAATAACATGCCAACCCTGCGTATGATCAATGTCCTTGTGTTGGCGTTTTGGCTATTTGTTTCCTGAGCTGGTCCTTCAATTCCACTTGAACTGCCTCTAGATTGGTTTTTGACCTCCATGGTTTTTCCACAGTCCTTCTGCTCTGAGTTCTTCAAACAGGGTCTTTATTCAGTTTATCAAATTCCTCGAAGCAAGTTCATGGCTAGGCTTTATTATGGGTGGATGACCTGATTTTGTTCATTTATTTACAAATTTTCAGGAGGTTATTTTGTTTGCAGCATAATATTTTTTACATGAAGTTTTTTGTTTTTAGAATTTTTGGGTTTTTTCAAGAATTTTTTTTTATTCGTTGATCAAATTAATGTTTAGAATTTCTTATTTTGTTTTTAAGATTTTGCAGCTTAAATTGGCAGCTGGCGTAGATGGGAGTAATTCGCCGAGTAGTTCAGTTATTAGAGAGGTTAAATTTGCTGGAATTCTGAAGGAATCGAAACAAAGTTTGCATGATTACTGAAGACTTGGGAGGGACCTGTAGCAGGAATTTTAACAAAAGATCAATATGATAGTTTTCTATTTCCGCCTCAGACAAAGAATCAAAACTGTTGTTCAAACATAATAATAGACACTTAACGTTAAGTCAATATGCCATAGAGCACCAATTTGAGAGACGTCAACTTTTCCGGCGCATTTCATAGCACAATTTTTTTTTAAAACGTATGTTTTATCCGCTTGATGTCCTTGATGGTTTTGTAGTAGTCTGGTTTTCATGGCTTACTTTTTTCAATGCTGATTTTGGTAGTTTTCGCTTCAGGCCTTATCGTCGCTTGTATATGCGAAATGTAGCTTGGCATCTGAGTTTTGTACAGATTGAAATGTTATCTGAACAGCAAACGGTGCTCGAGACGAGCTTTGAAAAATGGCCCCTATGTTTTTGACATATAATGGGTGCCTCATCTGCTGATCGCATAGCAACCAGTTGCGACTCTTCAGTTAATGAATTACAATGAACACCGCCTTTTGCCTCGTTTTCGTTTCATGTGAGCCTATGGTCGTGGTAACTATCATCTCATATGCTGGATACAAAGAGGTTTTAGTTTGATTCGAAATTGCTTAAGCGTTTTTCCGATTTCTTGCAGCTCTTTCTATTCCAGCAGACTATTATCTAATGTAACGTTTTTGTTTTATGCCTATTTTTCAATTGCGTTATATAGTATATTGGGGTCAGAAAAATCTGTTTTTTTTTTCAACAAAAAAGAAGGGATGAGTTATTTTGATCAGAGTTAGTATATTAATATTTTTTTTAATTTATAAACAAATTATTAATGTAGTTCTAACAAAAAGGGTAAATTCGTTAGACATAAAGTCAAAATACTGGTGTTCTTATTTCATATCTTATGTGTTTAGCGAGGGCCCTGAAGTACATACAACAAGTATTGGAATTAATTGATCGAAAGTGAGCAATATTACATGAATAACTATCAGAAATATATAGATTTTAAGACTTCAGGGGTGAATCTAGGATATCGTCGTTAGCTGATTTTTGGGAAATCTCGCTTCCAATCTAATTAATTTTATTTGGAGCTGAACACTTAAGGTCGATCAATCAAAAGGAGATGTCGTAAACTGAATCGAGACGAAGGGCTTGAATTGCACATTTCCCTAAATTCGCTGCGGGTTGAATTAATTCAAGTATATCAGTTTCCTTAAAAGTACCTGCGTAAATATCTTAGTGGGATATAAAGGGTTTGGGTATGCAGTAGAAAAGACAGAAGCTTTAATTTGTCCTCTGTTAATATGATGCCAAGAAATCTTAGCTCATTCAGATTTTTCCATTTTAATATTGTCTCTATTTGCTTATTAATTTAAAATGAGCACATGGTATCCATTAAGTGTCTGGTTGAATGCGATATCGTCTTCAGTTACACAAAATCAAAGGCGTGCTAGAAGTCAGAATCAATAAAGATTTCATTTACTCCTATTTTAAAAGGAGTTAATTTTTTCAAAGTCGAAAATTCAGTTCAATCAACATGCGTTTCATCTCATCTCTTGAGAAAATAAGAAATCTCTACGCTTTCATAGTTGTTGAATTGAGGTATGTTTGCGTGTTTTAATCTACTGTTTTTTCATAGATTTACCAATTTTTCATTGATTAGATGTGGTGATGTGTGATCGGTTTATACAATGTGTAGGTCTTGATAGAACCTCCTCTGCTCTTGTTTTTACATGAACAAACCTCAGTCGACCATAATCTAATTGAGCATTTTTTATTAACTAGATTATTCATTTCACATGGTGCCTGAACAAATTTATTTGATACGCGTCACAGAACAAGAGGTAAAAAACCAAATTTGTGCACCAGTTCAGTTGTCTAAATTGCAGCCATATCATTATTATTGTTTTGTATTCTGTCAAAACAGGCTGTGTTTGGATCTCTGATTCCAAAATTTGATTCCATAGTTGAATTCTTTGATGCATGATTTGTTGTGACTAGTTTATTGTTGTATCTGTCTCGCTCCTTTGGTTAACTCCCCCGTACAATAGCAAACAAACCACACTGCACATGCTCCCTAGCTTCTCTTTCTCTTTGACATTGTGGTCTCTCCGTTTGTTGAGGTAAGTGCAGCTATCCGATAGTCCTAACATCCGACACTGTAATTATAGCCATGTGACGAAGAAAATGTTTGAAGATAAGTCGCTAATTGAAAGTTTTGCTAAGATGTTGAACAGGAAAGTTTCCGTCGTTTTTTCTATCCCGACGCCTTCAAAATCAATTTAAATGATTCAGAAAAGCTTCTTGCAATTAATCAAATCTTAAGTTTTGCTTAAGCTATCTGCCTTTAAATCATTTTTGAACTACTGCCTTTGTTTGGCCTTTGAGTAATTTTTATAAATTTAGTCCTCGGTTCTTTCGAGGTTCTGAATGCCGCTACATTTAATTTCCCAGACAGTCCTAAAATATGTTGTCTGAGCTTGAGCTCAATGTTATTTCAATTTAGGATTTTGAATGACAGACAAATCCTGTTGAGCTAATCCGTGCATAGTTTTCTTCCGAAAATATTTCCTTTTAAAGACATATCCGATATTTTGCTTATTAATGTGAAGTTTAACTTTGACGATGCTCGATGTTGAATGAGCGGATTGAAGCTCCGAGTTATTTTAATTGGAAATTTTGCTTCCTGTTGAAAAGCGAAGTCCAAACTAGTTTTTCTTACATTCTACAGACCAAACGCTGACAGTTTTTTTTTCAACCCATTGTCATAATAACCGTTAGTGCTGTTTTTAAAATCGGACTATTTATTTTGCTTCCGGTGATAACCACATGCCTATTCGTTCATTATTCGTTGCTATGCATGACATGCCATCACGACCAACTGTTCAGAGATTTTTCGTGTTCCTCTGTGACGAACAATAGAATTTGTCAATTCCATTTCCTCTTGCTCTGAGCAAACGGAGTTTAAAAATATTAACAGCGCCGTGCTTTTTCAGATAAAATGCACCAAAAGCATCGCATGGCTAGCAGTTATCCCAGCATGATTGTAATTGCAGAAGCTTCTCGTTTTTGTTACCACCATTTAGTCGAGTGAAACGATCGTTACAAGAACAAGAGAGACATACGCACGCTTTGAACCGAAGTTTAATTTATGTGCATTACTTCTATTCGCTTATCTACTTAAATCAAGTGCTTCCAGGTTCCGTTTCTTCTCCATGGTGATGGTAATATTACCATCCTCTCTTTCACAAGTGTTAATACCATTCAATCAAAAGTTGAACGATCTTGTGAACATAACTCAGAGTTTGTTTGAATTCACTTAAAAGCTCATTTGTCTAATGCAAACATATGGTAAAACAGTCTACTTAATTTTGTTTTTTTTATTACAGTTGAATCGACCATACTTTACTCTACGTTTGACCAACTAGTTGATTTTTGATAGCTTGCTGTTGAATGTGTTACTATTAGCTACCAGTGGTATTACTAACTAGGAAGTTATAAGTATTCAACATGGTGATCAACGACTCCTCGGGACTGAATCACTCGGAGGATGGAGGCCACGCGGAAGATCATCATGCTTCGTTTCATCTAGTGAGCATGCAGTTTTCAGAGGTGAAGGTGCCCTTTTTTGTCACTGTGTTCTTGTTGTTGGCCAGTGGAGTGAAGACTGTGTTTCATCTGTCCAAGAAAGTGACCAAAATCATCCCTGAGAGTTGTCTACTCGTCATACTTGGTAAGTTAAACACTTTTACCACCACTTATCATCGAGGGAAGATATTAATGCACGATTTGTTCAAAAGTTTTCTGAGAATGGCTGTTGACCCCGCGATTAAGGCCATGTTGATTTTTTCATAGCTCTCAAGCACATCTGGTGAGCAATGATCATGTTATATGTTTGGCTCGAACGACCAACCTCACGAGTTGTACTAGTGAATTAAAAACATGCCCGATTGGTCAAATGGCGAGCGTTTTATAGATAACTGAGTGTAGTATCATATTACGAAGTGCACTTTTTTCTTACCCTGGCCATTTACTGGAACTTTTCCGGCTTTATCATTAAATCTGGTTTTTCTTTTGCTGCCTTAGCATTATATTTTTGTATCTGGTTTATTGGTGGCTAGTGTTTGAAGATTGTCAAGGGACCATGGCGCAGATGCTAATGCGTGTGACTCTTCATCTCGAGGGCGGGGGTTTGATTTGGGCACATAGAAAAAAATTTATTGTATTTACCTTTTTAACCTTTAGAGAGCTATTTTCTTGCCGTTTTCTCGCGTTCTTACAAGTTTTTTCTTCGCCTAATTTGAGTTCGTTGAATGAGCTTTTATGAATCATAGTGTTGGAGAGTTTTGAAATACATTTAAAAAGTCAGGTCTTTACGTCTTTTTTATACGGCTGAACACCACTTGCATGCATTTTTGACCATTTCAGGTGTGGTTGTCAGTCTTATCATGTACTACGCCCTGGGCGCAGAAGAAAACGACTACAACCTCAACTCCGATACCTTCTTCTTCATCCTCCTCCCCCCAGTCGTGTTCGACGCCGGATACTTCATGCCAAACCGCGCCTTCTTCCAGAATCTGGGAACCATCCTTCTCTATGCGGTGATTGGAACTATATTCAACACTGCAATCATTGGTCTCGCTCTTTACCTCTGCGATTACGGCGGATTTTTCTCGGTCAGTTTCGGACTGCTGCCGATTTTCACGTTCGCGGCGCTTATTTCCGCCGTTGACCCTGTCGCCGTGCTTGCGGTGTTTGAAGAAATCCACGTGAATGAAGTGTTGCATATCCTCGTATTTGGCGAGTCTTTACTTAATGACGCTGTAACAGTTGTCATTTACCATATGATGGAAACTTTCACGGAAATTGGTGCTGATAATCTCAAAATTTCGGACATTTTCGCCGGTATTGCGAGCTTCTTTTTCGTGTCAATTGGAGGAACGCTCATAGGCGTTATGTTTGGGTTTGTAACTGCCTTTGTTACCAAATACACGGGCCATGTTCGCGTGATAGAACCAATCTTTGTTTTTGCATTCAGCTACCTTTCCTATATTACCGCCGAAATTTTCCATTTTTCGGGAATTCTTGCAATTGTTTTCTGTGGAATTACCATGGCACAGTACGTTGAAGAAAACATTACGCAGAAAAGTCATACCACGATAAAGTATTTTCTGAAAATGACATCATCTGTTTCAGAAGCCATCATTTTTCTCTTCTTAGGACTATCGACGTCGGAAGCGTTACGCCATATGGACATACTTTTCGTGATTGTTGCGGTATTTGCATGTCTTGTTTTCCGCTTTGCCGGTGTTTATCTTTTCACAGCTCTCGCCAATCGATTTCGAGTTGAAAAACTTGACAGAAGTCAGCAGTTTATCATGGCTTACGGCGGCATCAGAGGTGGCGTGGCATTTTGTCTGGCAGTTTTACTGAGCGAAGACACTTTTGGAAAAGAGGTCAAAGGCGTGTTCGTTTCCACAACCATTATCGTAGTTTTCTTTACAGTGTTCATTCAAGGTATTACTATCAAACCTTTAGTCCACTTATTTCGAATCAAGACTCAAAATGCGACTAAATTGAACATATTTGAAACTATGGCGGACCGAGTGGTTGATCACGTCATGTCGGGAATCGAAGACGTCTCGGGAAGAAAAGGGCAGAACTGGCTGCGAGTTAATTACGAAACGTTTAATAATCGTTACCTGCGTCGGTGGCTGCTCCGCGATAAACCAAAAACTTCAGAGCTGAATTTGATGAATGCCTTTTCCAAGTTGAATCTGCAAGAGACAGTGAAATACGTGAATAGTCATCAGAATGTGTTTTTGACGCCATCTGTCAGCCAAAACTCGCTGTCAAACTACATGAGGAAAGAGTTTGAAAAACGTAAGCATTGTTAAAGCTTTCTCAAATAGATGTTGCTCCTGGAAAAAAAACTAGGCCGAGTCTATTTCAGCTGGCTTATCTACAGATTTGCATAGTTTAGCTTTTATGATGGGACGTGATTGATCGCAGAAGTAAATTTTCAAATCTTCAAAATGTTTTTATTTTATGCCTATCATGTGTCTAAGAAAAAGTATTGACAGATTTGCGACATTTAAGAGGTAATTTTTTGTTGTAGATGACAACCACAAGTTCGAAGGCCTTCCTGGCTACTCGGAAACGTGTCTGGATATGCGTCCAATGAGTCGTCAAACAGTGCCAAACCAGAAAATGCTGGAAGATGCCGAAACGCACCGGGCCACAATGGAGACGGCGTTCCAAAAGAGATCAAAGGGAATTGTGTCTGGGGCTCAAATTCAGTTCACGAATCCGAGGCATGCGATTCCGATTCCATCTAGTCGAGTGATGCGTAAATCTGTCTCGCATCACATGGAGAATTATAACGCGATGAGTCACCACATGATAAACTCAAGGATCCACAAGAAAAGTTTGGGAGGTTTGTACGATCAACGGGCGATAGAGAATGGAAATGCAAGTGTGGCACGACCAAGTGTCAGCTTCATGCTTCCAACTCCAGGCGTGGACGATTTGGACAGGTATCTCCATAGCACACATTTACCAACTGTTGAATCATGCATTACTGAGAGAACAAAAAAAATATCAGACGTGAGTGCTAACGGCTCTACTAAATCAGGAAAGACTATTCAGTTCAAACGAGAGGAAAGCTGCGAGAGCGGAATGAACTCAGATGACGGTATCACTTTCTCGGTTCCAGCTCGAAAAGTTCACCATGTCAAAATCCAAATCAACGACGAGGACAAACTGAATAGTTCGCAAAGCGATGGCGATTCGCCCGATGGAAACGACTCCCAATCGATACATTCGGAACAGATCCCGGTTGCGATTGAGGCTTACTTGCCCTGGAAAGATTCGATCGACCTCGAGACGCCTAGTTTGAGCTACGGGTTTGAGGAAGCGCCCCAATCTCAGCATGTTTTTGTGCCACCGGGCCAAGACATGACACTCGAAGAGTGGGACAAAGAACTCCCCGAGAACTTGAAAGACTTTGGAGACTTAAAGCGAAAGTCACCCCATTCGAAACATAGACGTCATCACAGAAATAGAGACGAAAATTTTCGAAACAAGAAAGATAAAGAAAGTTCACCGAAGCCAAAATCTCCGCCAATCAGGAAGCGTAAAAGTGGAGCTTCAATATCCAAATCAGACATATCGCCGTCATCGAACGATCATCGGACTAAAAAAGCAGATGGTGATAATACTAACGAGGACTCCGAATGGGGTGACAGATCAGAATCAGTTGACATTGACGTTTTTGGTTCTGGCAATTCGAAAAGTGAAGTGCCTGAAACAAGCACACCTAGGTCATCCAGTGGAGCCAGTGAAATGGACTGATCGTGTTAGGACTAAAATGATTCTATTCTGTAATTTATAAGCAACATCAGTTCTGAATTGATATGTTTCTTCTAAGCACCTCAAAAACGTTATTTTAGAAAATTAATCGTGCTTAAGAAAAAACGACATAAAATGATACTTTCTTACAAAAACGAGTATTCAACTCAGAACTTTCGACGCTGCAATCATGCCAATAAAAGGATGAGCTACTACTGTTTCTAATAACCTCCAATTAGTTAGATATTTTCACAATTAAAATTTGTATGACTATAGTTTTCGGGGACAAAAAGGCATAACAAAATGAGAGTAGCCGGTTGTTGTGCACGTAACACAGAAGGTTATTTGCACAGAAACAAAATCGCTATTCGACTTTGTTCAAGCGTGTGAAATTTCTAATAACTAATTTGCACAACCTAAATACAAACAAAAACTACGTAACGAATAATTAGTGAGAAAAAATTGCAACTTAAACTTGCAACTTCAAATTGAGCAATATTAAGAATGAAACTTGCAACTTCAAATTGAGCAATATTAAGAATGAATGAGTCTTCGCAATGAGTTCGTTTATTAAGAAAAGTTTTAAACCAGTTTTTCTCGGCAGAATTGTTTTCTAAAATTTTTATTGTTCCGACTTTCGATACGAAAGTAACGGAATATTTGTGCTCGGGGTGGTTTTTTTTTTTCTTCAGACAAATTTCGACTTTTTAACTAGCCATTTTTGACGGAATTTTTTTTATATCATTCGAAAGGTATTGTTGTCCTGAGCTCAAATTTGAAAAGATATTTCACCTGTGATCATTTTTCGTAAAGTTACGGGGGTTTAAAGATTGCAATTTTGGCCAATTTGGGACAATTAACGCGCGATATTTCGAGCTATTAACGCGTAAGCGGAGAGTTAATCCGTCTTAGAAATCGTTCCAAATTGGTTCAAAGAAGCTTATTTGCCATAATTGGTTTGTTACAAGGAGCGAAATCTACCCCTTTATACTTTATATGGAGTGTGGGGGGATGATTTTCATAAAAAATTTCAAATTTTCGAGAAAAAAAAATTTCATTTTGTTTTATTTCATTGAATTTTTTAATGTTATTACTGCTCCAAAAACCTTAAAAGGCAGTCGGAACATTCAGGGCTTCGCCCTGTTACGAGCAGTCTTGTTTTAATTAAGTCACGACTAATAAGGGAGGGCATATGATATCTTTCGACCACATTTGATGAATACTTGTCGTTCTGGATTTTCCATCGAAAAAAGAAGAAAAAAGAGACATGCGCGTTCGTGGCCGGAATAAGAAGCCTGATACTGTAGAATCAAGCGTTTGCGTAAAAATCGAAAATTAGATTGCAAAAAATCCCCTCCCAATTCGTGGTCTGAGCAAAAGTTCTGATCCGTACCTTGGAAGCAGCCCTATTTTATGAGATAACTTTTTGTTCCGACTTTCGATACGAAAGTAACGGAATATTTGTGCTCGGGGTGGGGTTTTTTTTTCTTCAGACAAATTTTGACTTTTTAACTAGCCATTTTTGACGGTATTTTTTTATACCATTCGAAAGGTATTATTAACCTGAGCTCAAATTTGAAAAGATATTTCACCTGTGATCATTTTTCATAAAGTAATGAGGGTTTAAAGGTTGCCATTTTGACCAATTTGGGACAATTAACGCGCGATATAATTCGCGCTATTAACGCGTAAGCGGAGAGTTAATCCGTCTTATAAATCGTTCCAAATTGGTTGAACGAAGCTTATTTGCCATAATTGATTTGTTACAAGGAACGAAATCTATCTTTTTGTACTTTATATGGCGTGTGGGGGGATGATTTTCATTAAAAATTTCAAATTTTGGAAAAAAAAATTTCATTTAATTTTTTTATGTTATTACTGCTGCTCCATAAACCTTAAAAGGCAGTCGGAACATTCAGGGCTTCGCCCTGATACGAGGAGTCTTGTTTATAATTTCTAACAGTGATGTTAGCTATCTCTTAGAAATATGAGTAATTCTTAGAAAAACACAACTGATTGAGCTGTCGGATCATAATCCAAACATCCCTAATCCGCTTTTTCTCTACAGTCGTGGGGCAAAAAAATTTTTGAGTTCAACGAGCAAATGAACAATTTTTTTCTCGTTTTTGTCGTTTTCTCTGCAGCAATTGCAAATATAGAACTGAAATTTTGCCACTGGATTTAGAGGTGGCCTTGCTGTGAAACATCTTTGCAAATACTAGAAGAAGTTTGTATTTATGAGCTCAAATTAACTCTTTCGGAAGTTGATGATTTTGATTTTGCGGAAAATTAACTGATAAATAACATTACTTGGTCCGGCGCCGAAAAACAGTCTGATATGTTCTGACAAAAGAAAAATTAGAAGGTCTTGGGCGTTTATGCTGAAAAGTTGAGCAAAATTTAGAGACAACATAACTGCTTCTAAGAATCTTGTGCTTGAATCGGAACAGTCATTTTTTCATAAAAATTGCTGGAATAGTTTTTTCTTGGCTGATTTTGATCCTCAGCACGAAACTACTTGTTAAAATGAAACCTTTTTTGACGCCAGACCAAGTAACTTTCATTTTTTGCCTGTTGCCTTGCCGCGGCTTAATAACTAAATCAAAAATTAAACCAGTTATGATTTTCTCGGCTAAATTTTGATTCGGCTATCTTCAAATTAAGTTCATTTAGCATGTGTGAAAAAATAATCACACCTAAAAAATTGCATAAAACGACAATGTAAATGAAAAATACGTTCATTTCTCGTTGAAATAAAAAAAAATGCAACTTCTATGTCCTGTGACTGACTGTACATGATTTAACTGGCGTTTCCCTCCATGCATGTTTAAGAAGTCCCTATTTTCACAATTTCAATTTTAAATGTTTTCTGAAGTCAACGTTTCAAAATTTTCTTGTCAACTGTAGAAGGAGGTCTTTCATCCATACGAACAATTGAATGAAAATTTCCACAGTCATCTACGATTCCTACATCTGTTGGAGCGCGATTCATTTAACTATGCGGTTTTTCCTTTTTTCTTGCAACGCTAACTTAGAAAGGTTTTGTACTTGCAGTGTTTTTTTTCCAAAATTTGAAGTTCTTAACCCTATGGAGGGGTGTTGCCAGAGGTGCTGCTCTTACTCCAAGTATGATTGCCTTACTGTTTGTGCCTAAATCTGATTGATGCTACTAAGTTGCGCTCGATTAAAAGATGTGGGCAGCAAAAAGTAAGCGTTCTGGTCAGTGAAATAGAAGAACTAAATTAAACAAGAATCTCTTAATCAAAAAAACTATCGTTTAAGATAAAAATTTGATTTTTTTAAAGCATCGTAAAGTTAACTCTGAATCCTTGACCACTTTTTTTCAAAAAATCTTTATTTTTGCAATATTGGAGATATTTTGTGAAAAGTTTTTAAGAACTCGTGATCAGCAGTAAAAACTGATGTAAATTGAATTAATATGAAAGCATGAACACATCATATATTTTTACCTTCAATACGAAGCATCATTACCAGCTTGTAGCAACAGTTAAACTTATTATATTGAACACTTTATTGGAGAAGTATTTACTAGTTATACATTTAGTGCAAAAAGTAACAGGAATTTAGTCTATGCACTCGGTTATTGATGCGAAACCACAATCTGAAGAAATTCCTCCCTCATTTGAACAAGCATGTTTCACCTTGCATCCGAATCCACTGATTTCTTGCCTAATTACCCTGTCACACTCGCGTGCCATCGGGTCAAAAAGAAATATTGAGCAAATTCCCACTTCTGCGGCTGCCTCTGGCATGACGAGGATGGATCCGTCGCTGGCTCTTCCAGCGTAGTTTGTAATGATGGCTGGTGTGATTAATTCCATGGCTACGTAAGTGCTGAGGTCAGATCTGAAAACCAGAATTTAGACGGTTATTTAAGCTTTAAACTTGAATTACGCTCCTTTTTGGAAGTTAAAAAACGATTGCACATTTTAGAATGCCTTTAAAACGATGTAAATTTTATTTATAAAGCGATGAACTTCAAGAAAATGCAGGCAAACCATGTCAACTCAATTTTTTAACTCTATTTTGTTGCACTTTTAAAAATAATCTAACGCTAGATGTAATTCAATTTGGGCTGAATGCGTAAATTTTGTGTTTAGCTTTGATTTTGAGCAATCCAATCAGCTGAAAATAATATTCATACCTGTTAGGTTTATTTGCAAATTGTTGGACAATTTCGTCTCCGAACAGATTGTTTCCTCCCCCTTCCCTCTGTGGTTTGATCACGTATCTCTCAGGAGCTGCTAACACTTTCTTCACGTTCTCTTCATCAAGCACAAATTGGTCGACGAAAGTGGACCTGGATAAAACTAGAATTTTTAAAATAGAACAGAATTAACTCCGTTCTGTGCAAATAGCTCACACGTTTTCCACCGCAGTTTTTTGTAAAAAGTTCAATTTGTTTTTATTTTATGAATTTTACGCACCATGGAGAATGGTTGGAGGGGAGGAAAAGTGGATGGATTTCATTTTCTACAGGTAAATGTTGGCGAAGCTTATCCATTAAAGCTTACATACTAAGTGTTTTCTAGTTCCCTGACTCGCAAGCGTTATCAAACTGGAATGTACACTTTTTCGAGTTGACAACTTGTTAATCAGAATCACTTGTATATCTTGGTTCGTAATGAACCCAAATTTCTATGCCTGTCCGGCACTAAGCCTGGAGGTGGAGAATACGCCTGGGAAGTCAGTGGTCGTGGGTTTCAATCTGACCAGGAACTTTTTTTCAAACTGGAGTTATTCCTTTCCAAAAACATGTCGGCATATAGTTTGTCTACTAGTGTTTTGTCGGCTTAGTTGACACATCGTAGAATTGATTTTTTTTCTATGCAATTTTCAATGTAGTTGCTTTTAGTGTTTTGAATTACTAATGCAATTTTCAATTTTACTAGCCTTCACTTCGTATATTTTGCTCTTTTTTTCGCCTAAAAACGTTATTCAGCTTAAATGATTTCGGCTTATATTTTATCGTCTAAGTAAGCTTTGTTCCGTTGCTAATGTAAAACTCGAATGTCTTGCTCGGCATGTTTCCTTGAAATTCATGTTTGATGGAAAAAAAAACAATTGTTATTACACTTGCGACCAGCTTAGTGTATTATTACGAACTTTTTTTTTAACCTAACTCGCAAATAAAAGTTTTCATTAAAAGTGTTCACTTATTTGGAGCTTTCCTTGTAGCATTACAAATTGCATAGCATCTGTTCTCTGCTTTATTTGTGGCTGGTGTTTGGTGACTATTAAGCTTCCGCGGCTGAGTGGTTAGTATGTGAGACTCTAAAGCACTAAGTCGCAGATTCGAATCTCAGAGGCAACCGAATTTTTACCAGCGTTAGACAAATTCAAAAAAAGGCTAAACAGGTACCTCCAGCTTAAGCTAACCCCTATTATATTTTATCGAGACACGACAATTTTGGTTGACCTAAATTTTTTCGACTTATATTTTCTATGTTTGTGTTGTATCGCAATTGGTGTAAAGCTCCGCTTTGCCTCTGTAACTATACATCATTGTTAATTAAAACAGCCAACAGACTTGTTTCTTCGGATAAATATGTGTCTTTTATTTGAAAAAGTTATGCGCTCTTGGAGCTACAGCACACAATCAAAACGCTCCAAAATTCTAACAAAAATAGACGAGTAAAAGTTGACCGCAAAAGTTGCGAAGAATATTTTTATAGTCAACCCAATCCAGCCATTCTCTAGCACGCCTAGACCTCATATAAATTTCATGTCATAGCTCCGCTCCATTCATTGCTTTTCTCGGACTAGGGGGAGATTTAAACGAAAAAACGAAAAGTTTGAAAAACAATAAAGAAATTTTTTGAAAAAAAATCAGCAAAATATTTTGCTCGGACCGCACTCAAAGTAGGAAACTCATCATTTCTGGCAAAACCGTAGATTTTTACCTCCAATTCCATAGAACGGTAAAAGAGATATCTTCTAATTAGCTCTAATAGCCATGGAAACAATCGACTTCAAAATTTGATTGATCTAATGTACTAGCTAATTCTTAGAAACGGCAGATAAAATGCTAGCTAGGAATATAGAGCCTTTCTACTTTCTCTCTCAGAAAGTAAACTAAAAATTTGCATAAAGATTTTATAACAAGATGGTTGTCAATTTATGACATCAACTAGGCCTTTAAGATTCACAGCTTATAAAGTGAAGTCAGCAAAAAATCAAAGCTGCCTCTTAGTTAGACTACCAGAATGTATCAGTGAGCTATTCTTTTTTCTAGGAAGTGGATAAGTTTAATGGCTTTGGGTGGGATTTAGAGTTAGAGATATTGAACGGAACGAAAAGTTGTAGTTTTTCAGCTACCTTTGTCAGTCAGTTTTGACGATTGGAGCAATTTCATGGATTTATCCAATCAGGGGCCAAATTGTGAAAACAGAAGTGTTGTGAATGCTTTAACCATTAACGTTGACAATTTATAAAAAGCTAGCTTTGAATCGCATTCCTTTTACGACTGTTACATGAAGTGGGAAATTGGATAAACATTGGCGGCGGTCAACGCGGTACATTTGGTGCAAAACGCTCCCATTATTCAAAAGATTGAAAAAGATTAGTTTATAGTTCTTCAATTTGATCTTAGAATATACCCAGGGGAATGGAGATATCCGCATCCCACAAAAGCTGACTGGATCAGAATCAGAAATTTAGCAAGAGAACCTTACACAGTCAGAGACGAATCTAGAAAAAACAAGACAGCTCGTATCAGGGCAACGCCCTGAATGCTCCGACTGCCTTTTAATGTTTATGGAGCAGTAATAAAATGAAAAAATTACATGTAATAGAATAAAGCGATTTTTTTTATTTGAGATTTTTTGTGAAAATCATCCCCCCACACGCCATATAAAGTAAAAAGTGATAGATTTTGCTCCTAGTAACAAATCAACTACGGCAAATAAGCACAAGCTTTCTCCAACCAATTCGGAACAATTTCTGAGACAGATTAAATCTCAGGTCAAATTGATCACAGGTAAAATATCTTTTCAAATTTAGGCTCAGGACAAGAATACCTTTTGAATATTAAAAAATTCAGTCAAAAATGGCTGGTTAAAAAGTCGAAATTTGTCTGAAGAAAAAAACCCAACCCAAGCACAAATATTCCGCTAGTTTCGTTATGAAAATCTGAACAATTAGATTTCTCTGACCGATCCAGTCCAACTACCTGATCAAGGCCAAAACCAAAACGTTAACTGGCATGTGGTTTGAAGCGGCAGACTAGATCGGCTCCTTACTTTATTGGTGTTGTGAATTGAGTGAATTAAAATCTCGCACAAATGCTGCCTGATTAAAAAGTTGCAGTGTTTTTGTAGAACCTTTAAACCAAGCTTTCATTGAATTTTTACTCTTTCGTCGGAAGTTTGATTTTTTATTTAATTTTCTTTGTTCACCTGAACGCCTCAACATCCGATGATTCTCCCATGAGCTGATGTAACAGTTGGAAGTTGTTCTCGTAGAGGGCACACTGCACCCTCTTAGTGCCAGCTAAGTGCAGTCCAACAGAGGGAACCAGAACTGCCAGACTCAACTCTGCCATCTCCACAAACTCCCAGCACTGAATTTGAACAAGACGTGATATCTCTGTACGTTTGAACAAATTATTGTTCCAACCACTTAAAGTGGGGAGGAGCTTTGTTTTCAGGTATGTTTGGGTTTTTGGTATGCAAAATCTTGTGCCTCAAGTAAACGTCATCTTGAGTCGAGTGATGTATCATACTAAAGCCACTTCTATCCTGATTAGTTGTATGAGTTTTATTACACATGCGATAATGTCGAGAAAAAATTGTCAGAATTATTTGTTTTTAGCTTTATTTCGAGTGAGTAAAGCGTGCGATTCGACTTTGTACTACGAAAAGTTTTATTTACAAAATTATCAATCAAATCTGAGGATAAATTTTTTTGTTCCTACTTAAGTCGCTGAAACAGTTTACGAACTAAAGAAATTTTCCAAATGCTTTTTTGCACACAAAATTTTCAAATTTTTGCTTATTATATAGTGAACGCACAGTCTTTATATATAAAAGAATCAAGGATCTCATTCAAGGTTTCCTGTAATGGCAGACCTTGTACTTTTAATTTAAAGATGATAAGATATAACCCAAATCTAACCAATAAATCTAGCCTTGTAGCCATATACAAAGAGTAATTTTTGTTTTAATTTTGAGTCAAATGCATTTTGTATCTGACCTGGCATCTAGCAAAACAAAGTTATATCTGCAATTTAATGCGTTTTAAACTGTTGGTTTTCTCATTTGAGATAAATTTTGGTATTTGTGTTCCAGTCGAAACACAAATGTAAAGCAACACACAAAAAATTACAAGGAAAACATGCTTAGTATACTGTCATACAGTTTCATAGTATTGAAAAAATATTTATCATACAATTCCATTGTATGGAAAAATGCTCATCATGCGACTTTCATCCAAATCTTGTGTCGACTCCTTTTCCGGCGACGAGACAAAAATTTCAGGACGAGAGGGACTAACCTCAGGAGGCCCAGCAAGATGAGCGGTCGAGGAAGAAGCAACATGATGTGAAGTCCGCGGTTGAGGCGAAATGAACGACCCTTCAGGTTGTTTAGTAGAATCAGTATTCCGCGAGTAGGTAGCACAAGTTGAGGTATGAGGCAAACCGAAACGGAGGTGAGTCACACTGAAACCTCCGGCGTTTTCCGATAGGAGCAGAATGTTGAGCCACCTGACGACCATTGTTGGATCCAACTGAACTTTCACTGGAAGAGTCAACTGTGAGGTCCACCATCGGAGTAGAGAGTGGGGGATTGTTTGGCCGTTGTTCCAGTAGTACAGGCTGCGACCGCGTAATAGGCCGTTTAACCGTTTCTCGAGAAGTTGATTTCGAAGCTTGGATGCGATCACCTATAGTGTTTGGAGCAACTAAAACGGTAGACTGATAATTAGGTTTGAGGCAGATATGATTTTTCCGGTAAACTTTCCCATTGTCGGTAACATAAGTATGATTTGTAACACGAACAATTTTAAACAGGTAGTCAGTTTATAAACAGGTTTCCCCGATTGACGATCAATAATTTTCCTAAAGACTTTAACTCGACTAGGATCAGACAGTAGAAGGTTTTCAATTTTACTTGTTTTCGAGAGGCGACGAGGTTGCACAACTGGTGCACGCCTGGAGCTGACTTGCGCCCCCGGAGTTGTTACTAGTGCCGAGAAGCGAAGGGTGTTGCTTTTGAGTCCGGACTTAAGAGAATGAGCGAGGTCCGAATGCCGGGTTGCGAGCTCCTTGAGGACCTTTTTTCCTTCATCTGGGAGAAGATTTCGTTTGAATTGCGACCATTTCTTCGCCGCCCGAGCGAGCTCTGCCAACGCCTTGTAGGGTTCACTATCTGCCACATTTCTGTTCATCGAAAACAAGGGTTTGAAGCGGGGTGGAAGTGTTGGACTGGTACTGCCGCGAGGAACACCTTTTGCCCTATCCCTACTGTAATCGTTGCTGGCAATCTGGTCTGGTGTAAGGAGGTTGCGCTCCAGTCCTTGTGCTGAAGTATCAGATTGAACAACATTATTACGTGCTTGAGACCATACAGTATTAGGTTTACGGCCAAAATGCAATTCAAAATGTGATTTCTTAAGAACCGAATGGTTACTCTTGCGAATATCCTCAAGTATTTGATGAATCGTATCCTTAAAGTTTTTGAAATTAGGATCGAGTTTTGCCACACCCAGTTTTCTCTTGATTGTCTGAATCGTTCGTTCGACCAACCCACTGCCGCGATGATCTCCGACCGGTGAGAGGATATGTTTAATACCCCTATCGGAGCAGAATTCTTGCACCAAGTTATTTTTAAAACCTGAACCATGCTCCAATCTGATAGAATGAGGAAGACCATGAATACGAACATAAAATTCAAGGAATTTAGTAACCTTCTTAGCCCCAGTGGTTTTAGAAACAGAACTGAAGGAAATTTAGAGAACCGATCAATCGCTACCAAAAGAAAGTTCTTAAACCCTTTTTCATCAAGTACCTGACCAACAAAATCTAGTTGTAACTCCTGATTAGGTCCAGACAGGACAGGCAAAGATTGCGCAGTATTAAAAGTTGACGCGGGCTTGAGATTCTTACCAAACAGGGTGCGTTCACGACACTTCTCACACGTCTCGATGATCTGATGGTTCATAAATGGCCACCAGTGGTATTCGGAGGCTGCCATCATAACCTCTTGTCCCGGGTGAGATTGGTGAAGACGAGTGAGCACGGCTTGTCGAAGGGGTTCAGGAATAGCTAATTTATTATCAATAACTACACAGTTATTAACCACAGCTGCTTTAGGCCAAAACTGGGCCATATACGCACCAAGCTTGTTAAAGGAGTTGATATCCTTGTTTATGATGGCTCGCTTCATGGGGCCAAGAAAACGATTCTCCGCCGTCAATTCCGCCAAAAGATCTGCATCAAAGAGCCCAGGCAAGCCCACAATTTCTTTCTTTGACTGTTTGCTAAGTATTCAGGTCGGAGACAGTGATTTCTTGAAACGTCATCTGTTTTGCAACAATCAATTTGCATACCAGTCCCTGATTGGTTGAATTCGTGAGAGCATAAACCGACGCCCTCTGTTGACAAACAACGCAAACAGTTCATTTGCATACCGCAATATGATTGGTTGAAACATTGAGTGACATATTTAACGAGCACCAATATGCTGAGACACAAATTGGACCACCCTCTTGCGGCGATATACAGTTTTGATTCCACTTCGAAGAGGAATTATAAGAATTGATAAATGAGAGGGCCTGATGAAATGCCTCAATTGACTTAACTACAAAAAGTTCGTCGTATTTAGAGGGTTCAGGAGCTGGAAACGTAGGATAACGTGATAAGTAATCGACTATTCCCAATGTGACCCCTGGGACGTGAATAACCTCAAAATCAATGCGAGCAAGGCGAGACTGATATGACTTATTATTATAATTTTCACTTAATGCCGATATGATAGCTTTATGATCGGTCACACTTGAAAACGCCTACCTAACAAATAGGTGCGGAAATGTTCGCAAGCCCAAACAATAGCCAACAACTCCAGTTCAATAGTGCTATTTTTAACCTCCGCATTATTAAGAAAACGCGAAGCAAAAGCAGTTGGGGCCCAAACTCCCGGTTCAACTTCCTGTTCGAGGCAAGCTCCTAGGCCATTGTGGCTAGCGTCACATTTTACCCTCGATCCCTTCTTGATGCAATCATCTTGATTATATCATGAAAGGCTTTATTCTGATCCTCACCCCACAGGAACGATTGTTTAATACAGGCCTTCAACGAGGCCCGGAAATGAACAGTCTGGGTATGCAAATCAGGGATAAACCTTTGTAAATGGTTTAGCGTTCCCATAAATGACCGAGGTTATTTTAGAGTTCGCGGTGGTTTAAGCGATTGAATTGCCACGATCTTTGAAAATTTTGGAGAGTAACCGTTCTCATCGATGTCATACCCTAACCAAGTTAGTTGGTTAACAGAGAACTCGCACTTACTCAGTTTCAGGGCCCAGCCTTCCACATCAAGCCTTTGCATAACTTTTTCGACCAGATCATTATGTTCTTGGACATCGCCTTTAGTGACTATCAAAATGTCATCGAGCTAACAAATAACCCCTTCTAACCCTTGTAAGGTACAATCCATTGCCTTCTGGAACTCGGTAGGCATATCAGTCAGTCCATAAAAACCGGTCTTGAATTGGTACGTTCCCGTCGCCTCACCACACAAAATTTTGAAATTACAGTGGCTGCAAGTGAGTGATGACAGTGGCAACTGACTAAACGCATACTTTAAATCCAAGGACGTGAACCAAACCTTACCAGGAACATTTTGAGTTATGATGTGTGCCGCGGAACCAATGAGCTCATGAATGTTCGGCATCTGGTACTGGTTTTTCCAGATCTGAGCATTCATCGGCTTAGCATTGAGGGCCAGTTTGATAGATCCATCCTTTTTTGCAGTTAGCACAATCGGTGCTATAAAAAAATCAGTCGTACACTTGTCCAACTTTTCAATTGGTCCTTGCTCCACCAAAAGTTTTATCTCACCCGCGACCCTATCCTGAATATGAATCGGAACTTTTCGTCCTTTAATATGACGTGGGACCAATGGGAACTTGAAATTTGTATATACTTTATGATTTTTTGATCGACCCAAACGACTAAACACATCGGCGTATTTCTTGGCAAAAAATCAACTCCAGTATTCTGAAATCGGATCCGAGGAACTATATTCTAACGACTGGATTGTTTCGGCCTTCAATTGTGTAGTAACAACACCCAGTTGCTCCTGCAAGTCTAAACCGAGAAGATTACGAGTTCTATTCTCCGAAGCGAGGAACTGAGCGTTTGCCACCCTCCAGCCACTAGAAGAAATTGGAATTTGAATCGACCCAAGGAGGCGAATGGGCTTCTTGTTATAGTCGACATACAGGGTATCAAAAGGGTAGCCGGTGATGTCGCGAAACTAAATTGATTGATTTCGTTGCTAGAGTAAATCACAGGTGCGTTAATTCAGGAACGAAACTGGGCTTCCTGTGTCTACTGTCGAATAGAAAAAACTGTAACCTGAATGCAACTGGATACTGAGGCTCCGAGATTGTCCTCCACTTGACTTGAGGGTTTCTAAGCTATTGATCATGACAGCGGTTTCCAGCTGTAACACCCCATATTCGGGCTCACTGTCCTGGTCTAGATCTATAAAGTTGCAATTCACAGAGGGACCCACCACGTCCTCATTTTCCTGCACCAGATTTACACGTATTTTCGACTAGTTGCAACATTTCGCGAAGTGGCCACGTTTCGGACAAAGATTACACGTTACTTCCCGAGCTGAACAAGATTTACGGTGATCCGGACTATGAGGATTACCACAGAAGTAACATGATTTATTTGTTTGATTGTTTTGTGACGTTTTTCGGTTATTTTGGTTTTGACGATAATCCCGTGTACCTCTCGATGACTGAATAGAGCAAGTAGGTTCTTGTTTAACCTTAAAACCGCTCGAATGTTGATTATGAGGGAGTAGTTTTTGAAACTGAGCAGACGTACTCGCCCCTTTTTTGCACTCGAGTGCGAGCTTAAAGGTGCCATCTAGATCAGCTTTTGCCTTGATGAGTTGTTGTTGGACATCGACGTCTCGAATCCGTCCAATAAAGAGGTCTTTCAGAATCTCCTTCTCTTGATCATTAGGCCAATTACACAAAGCCACTTGAACGCTCAAACGAGCGTAAAATGACGAGAAAGTGTCATTTTCAAGCATGAAAACCGTGTTGTACAACTTGATACGCTCCACCGTATATTCTCGTTCAACCTTGAATAGCGTTTCACAGCCAGTATGAAATTCTCGAAAAGGAATATTACTAATGTCCGTGTGAGGAAATGAGTCAGCGAATCGTCTCCTCCCTTCATTTCCCAGAGCAAAGAACAAACGAGACTTCATACGAGCTTCAGCTTCATGGTAGAACCAATTTTGACTGATCCGCGGGCCTTTTCTCCTCCTCTCAATGTTTAGTTTGGTAATCCTTCGGATCGCCGCTTGATCTCTCTGTCTGCGAGCATTAGCTGCTCCAGCATCTTCGCCCTCAGCAATTGACTCCGGTCTTGGAGGAGGTTCATCCAGGACCTCGGTGGGTTCAATTAACAGATCACGAGGGTTGATTTTATCCTTCAGACCAGCGGCCAAGAAAAATTGACCAATCCACGATTCCCACAGAAATGATGGGTTAGTAGAGGCTTTCGCCCAGAAAGGGGGAATGCCTAACATGTCAGTCCTGTCTTCGTTCACAGGAACTGCTGGCTGCGGCATGAGATTTGCCGAGGTTTTACAATGAAAACTTTGTTGCTGAACAATAAGTAAATTGTTCTAGAGTTAAATACTTTGTTTATTGAATTACTTTATTGCTTAGTTTCGAATATAATCTTGGTTTAGGTTTAGGAAGTTTATCCTGAATGATCAAAAGATTAAGTTGAATCAGATTTTCTAGCAAACAATAGAGATAACAGATAAGGAATGAACACGCTCTGCGTGGTGTTGAGTAAAAGTTAGCGCAATGACCTTGGTTAGTATAATTAGCATCAAACTGCAGTAGGACTGCAAAAGAACAAGTAACTAACGAGGTACCGAAGGTGGCCTCACGAAAAACTTAGTGCACTTCATCAGTTGTTTGTCAAATAGCTTAACATGCAATGCTTACGATGTATCGAAAATCCTGCGAAGTTCTGCTTTTCCGCTATGTTCTAAATTATTTGAAAAAAAAATCAGAAAACCTTTTTGAAAAAAACCCGTAAGAGTCACTTATAATTTTATCGATGAGTCAATTATCTTACCCGTTCATTGACGTAATGGTCGGGACTGTAGCCCAGTCGGAAGTAGACACAAGATATGAGATCGGAGAAAGACTTGTCTCGAGTCGTCAAGTGCAGTCGGCCCTCTTCTGTTAGTCGGAACTCGGAGTGGGAAATATCCTCGAGAGAAGAAACTACCACTGGGAACATACCTCTAAAATGGAACATATGTCTTTGTAAAAAGAAATTGGATGCATTTAAGCTCATATGTCATAAAATTCTTGGCGGTCAGTCAGTTTTTAGTTTTAAATAACCCTAAAAGTTAGGATAAAAATGCTAAATGATTATTTTTTCAATTTCAAGTAATAACATTTTTGTGAAAGAGCTCGTAGCATTTAAAATGATAGATCATTGAAGATTTGTCGGTACAAGATTTGTGGTTTTAAGTTCTATGTGAAAATCTATTTGATAAAATCTGTTCCGAAAGCTCTTCTGAAAATTTTCCTGCCCTCAAATATCTAAATTCGGATCATTTTAACTATATATACTCCCCTCGGGTACCCAGTAACGAATATCGATTCAACCACACAACCTTCCCCCTCCTCCGCCCTAATTGAACTACCGTAGAATGCCCCCCCCCCAAGCATGTAATAATTCTGAAATAATTCTGAATAAATTTGATACAAACAGACAAATAAAATCGGTTTTTCTACATTTTTATGCGGGATTGCTTTTTATGCTGTTAGTAACACGAATTAATATTTTCAATTTTCTTTAAAAATACACTTAATTTTGAACGAATCTAGGCTTCACTCAAAGTTAGCCTATGATAATCCATTTTTTCTCGCCCCTAAATCGATATGAGGGGGGTTGTACGGTCGATCCCGAATATCCCCTATAAAAAATGAATCAACAGTTAAGCATATCAGAACTTAATTCCTAGTATTGAATCTCCCCCTTTCCGCTCATTTCACTTCTACTCGTTTCATCAAAACTTTGAAGCAAAAACAATTCAGATACCTTAAAGGAAATGATGAACATTTAGGTCCTCGCCCTGATACGATCAGTTTCTTATACTCTATTATAGCAATCATAAAACTGCACAGCAAGAAGATAATTTTTCGCTCAATTTTTTTGTTCATGTCTGCAGCTGAAGCAACAAAAGTATTGCGACCATATGCTAACCCGTTCAAACGTGTTAGAATTTATGGGTATTTTGCAAAAAACGGCCCAAAATAAATATTTTATATCTTGAGCTAAATTTAATGCGGTCGAAATTGGTTAGCTATTTTGCGCAGGCAATTTTGTTCCGACTTTCGATACGAAATTAACGGAATATGTGTGCTCGGGGTGGGTTTTTTTCTTCAGACAAATTTCGACTTTTTAACTAGCCATTTTTGAAGGAATTTTTTTATATCATTCGAAAGCTATTGTTGTCTTGAGCTTAAGTTTGAAAAGATATTTTACCTGTGATCATTTTTCGTAAAGTTATGGGGGTTTAAAGATTGCTATTTTGGCCAATTTGGGACAATTAACGCGCGATATTATTCGCGATATTAACGCGTAAGCGGAGATTCAATCTTAGTAATCGTTCCAAATTAATTGAAAGAAGCTTATTTGTCATAATTGATTTGTTACATTGAGCGAAATCTTTCACTCTGTACTTTATATGTATTTTATATGATAGCCAATCAGATTCTACCTTATTATTTTATGTTCTTGAAAGATGTATAGTATCAATACGAATACTAGTTTTGGGCCGCTCAGTGCAAAAGACCCGAAAGATTGTCCTTTTCTTGATACGATTGGCCGGCTGTGAGTGTGCGTGATTTCTTCGCATGTGTGTAAGTGTTCGCTTATCCGCCGACGCTTAGGAATATTGCAAAAATGTGTCCCGGTTTTAGTTTTGCATTTTAGTTGCTGTTAAAAAAATATTTTCGGTTTTTGGCTATGATTTCACTTTTGGGTCTTTTCGGTTATAATTATACCCCCCTAAATGAATAAGTTTGACAATTCAGATTTTGAGTTGAAATTGAAAGCGCGAAAGCTAGTGAAAATAAATACCACTCGCGTGCAATTAGCAGCTGCTCGATTAGGAAACCTAAGAGATAAATTTGTCATATATACTTTGGTTTCCTAATCGAGCAGCTGCTAATTGCACGCGGGTGGTTTTTAATTGTTTGTTTCATTCGCGTTCGCGGTTTCAATTTCAAATTAAATTTTGAATTGGCAAATTTATTATTTTTGAAGGGGGGTAAAAACGAAAAGACCCGCGTTTTTTAAGCCCCGACAAACAAAAAAAAGATATTCATATTTTAAAACTTTTTGCTGAAAACTCCGAAACAAGTTTTATTTTTTCGTCTGGAAGACTTTTTTTTTGAACACGTATCAACCTGATTGTCTAGTTTGGTTTGTTGACTTGATATCTGAAGTGATAAGGGCTTAGTTTGGTTTTTGTTTGCCTGCACAATTAGGTAGACATTTAGTAACTCAAACTTTTGTTATCAGCACTGGGAGAATGTAAGAAGACATTCTGGTATAAAATAACTTTGCTTCTTTGTCTTAATTTCCGCCCTGTGTTTTGGTTTTTTTTTCTCTATAGCTAACTGCCATTTTAACCAGCACTCAGCTCAGTTTTCAACCTTGAGTTTCATATTTATTAGCTTGAATTCGGATTGTTTGCAAAAAAAATCAAGCTTTTATGTTTGGTGATATCATCAGGCATATCGTTTTGTTGCTCTGTATCCAGTTTTTTGTTTTGTACCCTTCTTTCTTTTTTGAATTATAGTTTTTTACTCTTGCCATTTGTTTTTTCTTTACTGATATGCACCTGTAACATTTTTGAAAGCCTGCAGATTGTACCATATTTTTTGATTCTGTGCCAAATTTTCCGTTCAGTTTTTCAGTTTTATTTAATAGCAAGGGTCGGCACTTACGAAACGAACCATTGTTTACATTCTGCGAGCTTTCTTCTAGATACCTGAAATGTTCTTACTTTTTTCGAGACACGCTAGTGTGCGGCATCCGGTTACAATACTTTTTCCCGTCAAGAATTTTTTTCACAAAGTTCGCACATGAAGCTGTTACACGCGTACTAAATTGCTGCTTGATCGATTCAGATTCAACAACCAGTTAGCGCACTTAAGAATAAAGTTAAGCCCCTGATTGCGACTACACGACGTGTTGTTAGGGTTTATTTTTTGCTTACTGATTTTTTTTTTATTTCTGGGCCATTTTGTGTCTGTTTGTTTTCCGCGGCGTATTTGATCTATTTAATTTATTTTTCTAAAACTATCAATCTTGTTTTCAAAAAACGCACTGGTGGTAATAATGAGTTACTGGATTTTTCTTTAAATTTGATTTCACTTTTTCAAATTTGAAATAGAAACACTTAGATTTAAAAAAAAGTTTGTTCATAAAAATTTTGACTTGTCAAAATCATTTTACAGTGCATAGATAGCCCAAATATACTGGTCTGAGAGACATTTCGGTATGGCTGCTTCCTCGGTGGGTTAGTTCTTCAGTACTACTTTTGCATCTAGGTCTTAGACAGTGTGTTACTGTACAGCAATAGCAAACTAAGATGTAATGTTATTGTTATTAAAAAGATGTAATAACGGTCCTGCTCAGGTTCAACCACGATGCTTGATTTAAAAAGTCACATCCTAATTTGATTCAATGCTGGTCTGCCTACTCATCGAAAACATTTATTCGTACCTTATGAGCAGCTTCTGAATTCAGAAATACGCTCATTCAGTTATTACTCAGATCACAGTATCACAGCCAGTAGGATTTGCAAATCCGGAGAACAGAAAGTACTTAGATATTCTGGGGTAGTGGGCATTGACAGCTGAAAATTCACCATGGCTGATCAAAATGTGGCTGTACCAATTTATGATGGCGGCTATCATGGAAGAAAATGTGGAACCGCATATAATATGCAAAAACCGCTACCTAGACCGGAATCACCAAGATAGACTGAGTCTACCACTGCAGAAGCAGGAAGATGGAACAAGATAGATCGCCAAAAAATGGAAGTCGAGAATGCGAAATAGAACATGAGAGGATCAGAAGTAGGACAACATCTTCTACGCTGAAGTACAACAGAAACTAGAATCAAGCCAATTTTTTCGCTCTGGGATTGGAAGGTAAGAACAAACTACTACAAACCAACCCTCGCGTATAAAACTCATAAAAGACAGTCAGAGGTTTATACGACAAGATCACAGCAACATTGAAAGATTTCAGTTGTTCACACGTGTATAGGAAAATAATTAATACTTGGAAACATTTCACGCTGCACTAACTGCTCAAGCAGCTAGATCGGAACTAAGATCAACTAAGGACGATTCAGTAAGTGATTTGTTTTTTGTTTCCTGAAATAAAATTGTAACGACGCGAGATACTCTCACATTTGAAACGTTAATGCCAGAAAAAGTGCTGAAATAAGCTCAAAGTTTTGAACATAGGAAAACACTACAGGTGTAAAAAAAGAATGCAACACAAACCGCAGAGAGTTTAAACTAGAAGTCGAGTTTGAGTAAAACATGAAATGATAGTAAATGTTCGAAATCTAAAAAAAGAAGTTCTAATTCGTCGTACAAAAACTTCCGACAAACAAGAAACAGCAATAACTGCGACTGTCATAGCGAAAAAAAAAGAAAAAAAAAGCACTCTATGTGGTCGAACATGTGGCGAAATTATTTGAAAAACTGCCCGGCGACGGGAAAGCCGTACAAAAATTGTAAACAGTCAAATAACTTTGCAAAGATGTAAGAGTCACATCAGGTGAATGAAATTACAGATGAATCCTCACAAGAATTTAGGGAATATGATCTATTCGGAATTTGGAATCCAGGATGATTTTGAGATAATGGCTATTGAACAGAGAGGTAAAACAAATTGAGACGTGTCACAAAACAACAACAATAACGGCTACTGTCATAGAAAAAATAAAAAAAATTGAACTAGATGTGGTCTAATTTTTGGCCAAATCGTTTGAAAACTCATCGGCGATGGGAAAACCTTACAAAAATTGTAAAAAAAAAAACAAAATAAAATTGCAAAAATGTTAAGCCACAACAGATGAATGAAATTATAGTTTACTCTTCAGAAGAATCCATGGAGCGTGATCTCATCGAAACGTGAAATCTTGGAGGAACTTGAGGTAATGGTTAATGAACAGAGAGAAGTAACAGAAATTGAGACGTATCACAAAAGCAATTGAGATAAAAAAAACCTCAAACTGCACAAAAAGGACAAAACCAGAACAAAGAAATCGAGATTGGAAGGTATTTTAGATCTAAGAGGATGAAGTTCATTAAAGCCTTAGTTAGGGTTGATAATCACATTGTTCGCATGACGTTGGATACAGGTAGTCCAATTTTATTCATCAACTGGACTGCAGCTAAACATATACTGGAGTCAGCATAGTAGGAAGCGAAGTTCAAACCAGGGTTGATCACAAAAAAAATTATCAAGATTTTAAGAGTGCTAAAAACGAAAGTGAATTCAACAGGGGGAATTATTTCAGAGAACATCTTGTTGAGGACAGAACCAAAAATAAGATGGATCAGAAGATTAGATCTCCAAAGAAAATTGGAAACTTCTTTGTCACAAAAGACGCCAACACGATCGAAATCTCACTTTGATGTTCTACAGGTAGAGGAAACGCGGTACTATAAACAAGAGTTAATTGAAAAATTTGAAAACCTCTTTGAGTGGAGAAGAGGTCAGAAAACTCTTTTTTAACCACAAAATTCAAATTTCCACTGAGCACGACTTAAGAAAATGAAAGGTCGATACAACTTCAGGCAAAAACTGAGAGAGTAATAGAAAAATCACTGGATGAAGGACACAAGTCAGAAGCTTGACAAATAAACCAGCTACAACTCTACACGCAAAACCCAATAATAGGCAATTTCACAAAAAACTAATATCAAAGGCCAAACAACGACAAACTATTAGATTGATTGAGTGATTTTGTCGCTGAAAAGGAGGTTATTAAAATCAAGTTTTACACCTAAAGTAAGCCTACAGGTAGCTAACACTAGCTGCAGAATTAGCCAACAAGTGTAATTTCAACATCGTTGACGAAATTGCTACTGTGACTCATCATTTAGTGACCGGATTCTATGGGCCGACCGTCACGCAGGCAAAAATTTCTAAATGTAAGGAGCCGTGCTTTTAACCATGCGAAAAACACTTTTTGCGTTTTTGACCATATTTTTTGATAGTGTCACAAAAAGATGAAGAACAATATGTCCGGTTAAAGGAAACCGCCATGAAAAGGTTAGATAAAGAAAACTTAGCATCAAAAACATCGAAAGTGTGAGTTAAAGCAGTGTGAGTTAAACATCATAACCAGGTGAATGGGTTAGGACAACAGTTAACAATTAAAAGAGTAAAACTAAAAATCTTGAAACGGAGGCAATGAAAAAAACATATCCTCCAAAAAAAGTAAAACAATTAAGATCGGTCTTAGGTAGTAAAACTGCACTTGGCCAATACCTAATACAGCAAGGTTAAAAGAAAGCTTAAGACAGTTAATCTCAGGACAAAAATGAGGAAACAAAGAATAAAAAAAGAACTGGAGAAAAGTTCAGTTGAACGGCCGTTACATACAGAAATTTTAGAAAAAAATCAAAAATGCTGTAGCGAATAATTTCGAACATCCTTTTTTTAAGTCCAGCTCGTGAAACAAAAATGAATTGTGATGCGATTCATAATGGACTATGAACCACATTGGAGCAGATTACCGATAGTAGGGATTGCGTTCCTATATTGTTTGTTTCAGGCTACCTGAATATTCAAAAAAGTAATACTGAACCGATGAGTTCGAACTGTCAGCAGTAGTGTGGGCAACCGATAGAATCAAACACTATCTGTTGGAGAAAAAACTTACGATGCCAACGAATCACCAAGTCCTCTGATCAGCGTTAGGGGCAAATAGAGCTAATAAAACTGATCAGTCAAGATTGACTATGTGGGCTTATTGATTTAAAGGGAAAGACATGGGTTTTCTAGAATATTTTTCTAGAGACCCATCGGCAGATCCATGGAAAAATCAGATTATGATAAAAAGTTTGTGATTGCTTCGTTTGATCAGTTTCAAGAAGCACTCGGCTGCATACGCAGTTGATGTAATGAACATGCAGAGCTCTACAGGAACGAACACGAATTCGATTGCAAACAGCTCAAAATACAACATAAAGGCAAAATGTGTTGCTATAGCAACAATTTAAAAAAAGAAAACAAATAACACGGTATCATATCAAACATATCTTCTGTTTATTGGTGACCACAGAGGATGAAGTTTCGATGAACGATCAATTCAAGCAAAAAAAAAGATAATTGGGGCTAATGCTTTTAGAGGAGAATGTACTGTCAATTAAATTGTGTTTGAGTACAACAATACGATCAATGATGGGCTTTGGAAAAAAAACGAGAAATAAAACTCTCTTTGAGGCTGAAGGTGGAACATTACCCGAAACTGAGATTAAAATTATAAGGGACCAGTTCTCAACGAAATATAACATTTTTTGCTAAATAACATCTGAGTTGTCGGTAATAACAGCGTCCCAGCTCAAAAAACGGATCGACCCAAGCTGACAAAATGTGACTATTGTGCGCAAGGAATAATTAAGCTCGGATGTCAGTCCACTAGTCATTCAGCAGACAGCGGATCGGTAGAATAGAGAAAAGAGTCAAGTGCTGAAAAGCTTCCTGGAACTGAAGGCTGACTGGAAGGAGACAAAGCGAAGCATAGCGCAAAATGAAAAGAAACAGAGCATAGACGAAATTAAGAAATCAAATCCAAAATTGAAAAAAGAAGTTGAATTTGCCAAAAATTATAGTTTGCAGGATAAAAAGACGAACACCCACCAAAGAAAAGCAGAACGAACATCACTGATCAAAGAAAAAGGGTCGTTCGTAAGCATCCAAACAGATTGTCAGGTAAAGCAATAACAATTGCCAGAGCAATCCGAATAGAACAATAGTCAACAACCACCAGGAAGAAAGGGCAGTGTACAGAATTTTGGACGGGCATCGCTCTTGCAAAAGGGAAATGGGGTAAGAAAAAGAAAAGTCTGGCCAAAGTCTAAACAAACAAGGCTTCCAAGGCGGACGCCACGATAGAGACTACGCTAAAAGACCCCGAATCTAGTTACGATATCACTGAGGTGTTTTTTCGAAAGATTGATGGGTTTTGGTGGCGACGTCAAAAGATACCCAGGCTGGTGTCCCAAAAAAGAGGACCACGCCCGATGATGAAGTAAGGATTAGTGATAACACCCTCAGAGAAAAAGAAAAAATGTCTGTACAGGAAGCTAGAAGAATCAAAGCGCTTGAAAACCATAAAGAATCAAAAGGAAGCTGGAATAAGCAAAATCGGGATAGAGAATAGGTCAGCTGAACTGGAGTCAGAGAACTGGAGCAGAGTGGATGGGATACAAAAAAAAAGCAATTAAAAAGTTATGGCTTCAAAAAACTACTTAGAAGGAAATCGAAAAAACGAAACGAATCCTGATGAACGATTGAAGACGGCAAAATAATTATTCAGTAGGCATAGAAGACAATAGGGAGAATCTACCTTAAAGATAGCTCACAACCAATTTCTTTTGAAAAGTTCGCGGTAACCAGAAGGATCCATAACGGTGTACAGACAACAACAAAATGAGGATTCAATCAAGATGATGGCTGCAGCAGGCGAAGTACGGGGAAGAATGCGGGCAAACAAAAACAAACAGCAGGTTCGATACACGGATCTTTCAAGCACTCTGTAAAATCAGTCGAGGACTATTCATGAAGACGAGGAGATGTCAGACGAATTGAAAAGAGTTTCTCTGGAAGCTTGCAGGACAGAATTGACGACAAGAAATCATCCGAAAGATACAATTGAACATCCATTTCATCTGTAGTAAAAGTATTTGTTCACCCACAAATTTAGACAAATTGCGCTCTAAAAATTTTTCATTCAGGTTCCGCTCTATTTTTTTCTTTCATTTGTTTACTATAAACTGGGGTAAAAACATAAATTGGATTTTGTGCGCTTATTTATATACCTTAATGAAATTTTTTTGATGCTTTTTAAACCTTAGATTCTGCATTTCAATTATGAAATATATTCTGAAAGTGGTTTCAACTGCATCGATAAAAAACTGAAATTCACTTTAAAATCTTTTTAGTTTAAATATTTTGGCTATAACTAAGTTCCAAAATTTTCTTGAATTAAGATTTTTTTCTCAATGTAAATTCTTTGCTATTGTCAAAGATTAATTCTTTGAAGCTACTAGTCATCTTTTCAATTTCAAACTCGGAAATTGCTAGGCGCCAATTTTTTAGCATCATCCGAAAGTAAGAAAGATTTTTTGAATTTATTTAAATAAAAAGTGTTTTCAATTCATGATATTATCAAATTTTCTCACTGCAAAAAAGTTTTAATTTTTTCTTAAATTTATGAAATATTGATCTTTGACGAGGAATGATTGTTACCATGTGTTCACTTTTTCCCTTCATTTAGAAGTTGATTGGGTCGTTAATGTATAGTGAGAAAAAAGATCAAATATTCAGTACAAAAAATGATTTAAAAAGCCTTGTTGAATAAATAGGGATGATAATAAAAAACCGACTCACGTTTGAGATAGACGATACACAATTTCCATTGGTTGCACCTCTTGTGTATCTGCAATCACTAGTACTCCCGGTCTGGACACTCTTACCTTTGAGTCATTAACGAACCCATTTGACCCCGAATTTGAGTCGAAAATTTTCGCCAAGTCAGATTTTTCCCCCAGGTGATTGTAGAAAAGCCAATGAGACTTTTCAGGGGTCTGAATTTGGTCGTTGGATTTTTCTGATAACCTGGCATCTGTTAGAAATCTTTGATGTATGATTGAAATGCAATCGACCAGTTTTTGACTCCTGTTTGAAATTTCGTTTCTGAATGCTCGCTTCTCCCTGAAAACAAAATTAAAAGTCCTGTTCGGACACCAAAATACTCGCTAATTTTTGAAGTGTTTCTTGCTTGTCCCATAACAACCAACTGTTGTTGCTTAATAAGAACCAACTGTTCTTAAATAACTTAGAGAATTTTGATACATACATAATCGGAAACATCTGTGCAAATTGCGTTTCCGTGTTATCTTCACTCATGCTTTAAATTTCTTTTACTTGCCGATGGAGCTGTTCAAGGACATCGGCATACAAGGCCATGGCGATAGCTATCGTGTTGATTTCAACTAGCTTCCAATCTTGGCTATCTTTGTCCACGAAGTAGTCACTTCTGATTATTGAAAAGTATAGTTTCTTCTCGAACATTCTAGAAGCTAGCGACTTGGTGTGGATATCTAGCAGTCTTTTGATAAAGCTGTCTGATTGCACAGTTTTTTCAAGTACTTCAGCCAGAATTAATTCGTGGGTTGCGAGTTTGAACATCAACTGGTCCACTACATTCAATTCCATGGATTTAATTTGTGCGTATTTCTGAAAAACTATCAACTGGTTAGAATTTGATATTCACAGGAACTTTAGTTATGTCTTTAGAAACCAAAAGCATGAAATTTTGTCAAAAGCCAACTAAGTGAAGGCGCTCGCTGTCTCCAAAAAAATGTTTTGCAATAATAATTTATAACCGTAGGGCAATTAATAACCGTAAATAACTTTGTTGACAGGACTTATTTCATCTCCTAGAATCTTAGATCTGACATGCTCAATTCTTTGAAAATTAAAAAAAATTGCTATAAGTTAAGTAGAAATTAGGTACAACCCGTTTTTGGTTGGAGTTATTTTTCAAAAAATGTCTCAATTTTTTTTTCAAGTTGGTGGTTTTCGTCCTAGTTTCTGTCAGTTCATCTTACTTTCTAGAGCATGTGTCTTCTTAGCATTCAAACAATTCTTACAACTATTGAAAGTTTAGTAATTTGTAACTGTACCAAGTCTGATTTTGGGTATTTTTGAATATTCAAACAGTTTCATTTGATACTCTATCGGCTCAGTCAACTTACATTGCATAATTTGAAAGGCAAATAAGTTTTAATGCACTTGTTTGTTTCAGATTGGATGGGTCGTATAATTTTGTAAAATTTTATGCAAAAGTTTTTTGACAACAATTTTGTTTTCAGCTCGAACAAATTTCGACCCAAAATTTATTGCCGCTCTGTAATTGATTTTAAAATCTTTTTAAGGCTTTATGAGCATATTTCTATACAATCATGAAAATCTTGTAGCTGTATTTTTTTCAACTTTCAAGTTACTTTTTCAAATCAATTCAAAAGAAACTTTTTCAGAACTTTTTTGCATCGCAAGTGTTGAGAAGCTCCGCTTCGCCTCTGTGTTAAAATATGAAAACAAACAGCAAAATGCTTAAACCTGATTGGTGGAATTTAAATACAACGAGAAAATCATTCAGTTCGGAAATTATGCGCAGCTCAGTTATTTTGGGCAGAAAAAGTAAAAAGATCCTTATTTCTGAATTATCTATATAACGAGTGAAATTTAACTAAATAAGTCTATTTGTTCCGACCATCGAAAATGGGGAGAACCTTTGTATTCGGGTGTACTATAGTTTTTATTTCTTTTTTTTTCACGCAAAATCAGGTACTACAAATAATCATTGGAATGGGTCGAGGGATAAATCATAGTGAAGACCTTTCAGTCGTGAATCGAAAGACATTCAAAAATTTCCAAATTTTTTCTACACTGTCGAGAAACTAGTTTTGAATTTTTTGATTTCTGGTCTAATTTTGGGCTTTTAACCTGACCGTGTAGGCTTACAGCAGCTTATTTACGCTTAATTTAAGCCGTGAAATTTTAATTTCACTCAATTAAAGGGAGTTATGGAGTTTCTTAACGCTATTTTGGGAATCAGAAATTTAAAATTCAAAACAAAATTAAGCAAAAAAATGTATTAAAGCCCTTTCAGTCGATATTCGATTCACTCTAGAAAATTCTCAACTTTTTTTGCGAAATTCCTAAAATCATTTTCTTGTGTCGGGAAAATCGGTTTGAAATTTTTGATTTCTCGTCTAATTTCGAGCAAGTGAGCAGGCTTACATTAGCTTATTTAGGCTTAATTTAAGCGTTGAGAACTTAGTTTTATTCATATGAAGTTAGTTTTTGGAGTTTTTAGCATCGCAATAGGAACCAAAAACTTCAAAAATTTGGGGGAAAATTTTTGAAAAATTAGAAAGAAAAAGTTTTTTTTTTATTTTTTTTTTGTTTTTCTTGTTATTTGTCTTCAATAATTGTTTTCCAATTTGCGTATTTTACAATGATTGATTGCTGGTACCTGAATTCTACTTTTTTGCTCAAATTCCTTCATCAAACCACTCCGAAAAAAAACACTAACTAATTTGAAACGATTTTTGTGTTGTAATTTTATAAGACTGGTCGGAAATTTCTGTGCGACTTGCACATTAACCGGCTATCCTTGCTTATGATTTTTTCTCTTTGTTTTTCTATGCAAAATCAGCTAGCTTAAAAATTTATGGGAATGGGTCGAGTGATATATAATATTGAGCCCTTTCACTCGTGATTCGAACGACATTAAGAACTTTACGAAGAGTTGTCCCGGCATTGAAAAAAAAACAGGTTTGAAAGTTTTGATTTTTAGTCTAAGTTCAAGCAAATCATGTAGGCGAGCAGAGCAGGCTTGCAATAGTCTTTCCTTCTTAATTTAGGCGGTGAAACCTTTGTTCTACTCAATTAAAGCTGTTTTCTGAGCTTTTTAGACTATGGTCGGAACATTCTGTGCTACTTGCTCAATAACCGGCTATCATGTTGATTTATTTCTTGCGCAGAGGTCCGCAATCTCAAAATTTTAAAATTCAATCAGGTGCTAAATCATCAACCAGTTTTGGCACCAATCATTATTTAACTCCAGTAGTCGTCCTTGAAGGCATAAAAATTTGAAAGCATCTTAATGTATCAGCTAGCATAAATTTGATTCCAAATTTTCATAAAATAGTAATTAATAATAATAATAATAATTAATTGTTTGCAAATTATATTCTATTCATTGTAAGAGTACTGATTACAACCAAATGAATTCTCATTGCGAGAACGCCATGGAACTTTGCAGCCCGTTTTCAGGCGCCTCTGAAGTACTACATACCGTTCAACTGAAATCGTATTTCTCAGAAATAGACAATACAAACTTCATCTACACACATGTAGCAGATTTTGATTTGTAGGATTATGAATGTAGTTTTTTGAAGGGGCGGTTTTTGAAACATTTTGTCGACTGTTTCGGTCATCGTAGATTTTTGGGTTAGTTAATTAACCTTTCTATGCCAATAATTTTGTGAAGGAGACATTTTTGGATTTTTGGTTAGTTTTCCTCCAGAATGCATGCACAAAAACGTGCGCACTCCGAAGTGCGTTTTTTAGGTACGCTTTCTACAGTTTTTTTGTGAGTATTATGAATGATCTCAAAAAAATTGCATACTTTTATTTATTTACCTAGTTTTGAAAGATATTCCAATCAATGACAGTTTTGTTAGACAAAATGCATCAAAAAACATTGAGAAAAAATAAACCAGCGAAAACAGTTACTTTATTGCAAAAATGAAATCCAGTATTTAATGGTCGGTTTCCGAAATGCAAAAAACTCGGCTGTTTTTATTTTTAGTTTTATTTGAATTTTATTTCTGATTTTTAGGCTAGCCGATACACTTACCGTCTGTGATTTATGACTTTAAAGCTTTTTCGATGGAAAATGCGTGCAATTTTAATTTCAGTACCTTTTGTCGAATTGAGACAGGATAGAGTCCCAGTGGAAGAATTTGAAGTGAGCCATCCTTCTTCTTGATGAAGAACTTTCTCCTCCTGAGTTCTTCGCCCAGGCTTTCGCCTGAAATTCGAAAACCCTTGGCTGTTGCTTGATCTTTTAAATATATATAACAGAAAAGATAGCCAATTTTTGTTCAATTAGCAAGTTCTGCTTACTTATTTTTAAAACGAGGTATAGAAATCAAGGAAACATACTGAATCATTTCAATAAAATTGTTGAAAAATCTTTTCTTAGTTTTTGAACATTTGTTATGAATAATTTTTCAAGCTAGTGAGGGGACTCGATTCGTTTAAAGTTAAACTCAGTCTGAATTTTATAGTCTTAAAAACGGATAAAGAAGTTTTTCTCAACACAGAGAACTAGGAACTTTCTGTGCTATTTGCACAAGCAACCGGCTATCCTTGTTTCTATTTTAGAGATTAATTCTGTATGCACCCCTTAGGGTGATTTATGTATATATATTGTTAGCGAATAGCATTTTTATTCCCTTTTTTAATTGTGAAAATGAACTTTGTTCCCACTCACCGTATAATTCATCCAAACTTGACATTATTTGCAGAAGAGCTGTTTTTTCTGATCCAATTTGGTCGTTATGAATATGGTAAATAAGTAAATGAAGTTAAAGATAACATCGAAAAGATGATAAGTCTGACACTTTAGTTCGAACTTCAGTAAGTTTTGAGTTAATTTTGCAGATTGAGCGTTTTAAAGCATGAGCATGCAACATTCATTGATATAAAAATAGATCTGCTTAAACAAGTTGATTTTTACGCTTTCGACTAGCATACGCACCAAAAGTACCATGAGAAATGACATAAAAAAATTTATTTTTAAAGCAAATAATTCAGTAGTGTTTTGTTTCCTCAGTGCGCCTGTCGGTCGTTGCTTTTTTTTCAAATTGATTTATATATGAGCTCTTTGTCAGTAAAATTTGTCAGTGGATTAAAATTGTACTCTGTAATCCTTACAATCACCAGCAGATTTAAGGTTTAGGATTTGTCCCCCTGCCGACCCAAAGGGTCCCCCTTTTGAACAATTTTGTAATCTCAATTTTCGGCTGACGGACACTAAAATTTTCTATGGCTCCAATATATTCAATTTGAAAGGAAACCGCGCACCGCAAAACGCAGTTATTTGTCAAAATTTTACAAAAAGTGCCAAAAACGCATTTATTGGCCTGTTTCTTCAAAATTTTTCCTGTGGCGCAGAAAAATTCATCAAAATAGGGTCTTTTCTCTATAGTGATTTTTGACAGCTCGGAACATTTCTTTGGTCAAGCTAAAAAGAAGTCCTAGGTCCTAGTCGAGAAAATCCTAGATCTGCTCCTGAAATATATCATCACAATTTGCTTAGATAATTAAATATTGCGCAGTAAATATAAGTTATCTTTACAGCGGAACGTTTGTTCATCTAAAGCAAATTGGTTTTTCGAAGACCAAAAAATTAAGATCAATTTCAGGGACAGATCCAGGATTATTTCGAGGGGTGGGTGTATTAGGATTTTCCGACCTTCTTTCTCCGACCTTCTTGCGACCTTCTTTTTAACTTGACCAAATTGATTTTCTGAACTCTACAAAATCACTACAAAGTCGCTTGTTTGACCAAATTTTCTGCGAGCAGACAATTTTTCAGAAAAAAAACAGTCCAAAAACGCGTTGTTTGGCATAATGAAAAGTTTTGAGAAAAATTGCATTTTCCGGCGCGCGTTCCTCACTCAAAAATAGTATATTTGGGGCGCCAAAGTCGTCTTTAGAAAAATTTTAGAGTCGGTGAGCCAAATTTGCATTCCTAAATTAGTACCGAAGGCACTTTGCGGTAATAACCATCTCTAAATTTTGTATTAAGTCCTACCTTCTGTTGGCAAGCTCGCGACTGCGGCGGTCACTATTTTATTGTTCTAGTAACGGAATATTTGTGTTCGGGTGGTTTTTTTTTCTCAAGACAAATTTCGACATTTTAACTTGCCATTTTTGACGGAATTTTTTAATATCATTTAAAAGGTATTGTTGTCTTGAGCTCAAATTTGAAAAGAAGTTTTAGTTGTAATCTTTTTTTGTAAGGTTATGAGGGTTTAATGACTGCGATTTCAATCAATTTTGGACAGTTAACGCACGATACATTTCGCACTATTAACATGTGAGCGGAGATTTAATCTGTCTTAGAAATCGTTCCAAATTGATTGAAAGAAGTTTATTTGCCATAATTGATTTGTCACTAGGAGCAAAAACTATCACTTTGTTTTTTATATAGCGTCTGGGCAGTTTTGTCGACTTTTTTTTAGGTCAAACAAATAGATTTTCCGAGCTCACCCAAAACAGTACAGAGACCTTGTTTTGGCTAAATTTATGAGCCGAAGGCAAAATTTTGAAAAAACAGGCCAAAAAAGGCGTTTTTAGGCAGTTTTTGGAAAAATTTTTGCAAAAAATTGAATTTTTTTGGCGCGCGCTCCTCTCTTCAATTTAGTATATATTTGCGCACAAGGCGCCTTTTGAAATTTTTTCGGGCCTGTCACCAAAAATAAATTTCCCAAAATTGACAAAAGGGGGACCCCTTAGGTCGGCAGGGGGTCGAATCCCTGATGAGGGGCGTCCGACCGCCCCCCCGCACTCTCCTCAAATCCGCCCGTTTGCCATAATTGATTTGTTACAAGGGTCGAAACTTATCACTTTGTACTTTATGTGGCGTCTGGGGGTATGATTTTCACAAAAAATCTCAAATTAAATTTTTTTTGTTTTATTTGATTTTTCATGATATTACTGCTCCATAGACCTCCAACAGCAGTCTGAACATTCAGGGCTTTGCCTTGCACAGCAGTCTTGTTGATTTTTGCTGAACAAAGGACAATTCTTGGCCTACCGGCTCGTTGAAACAATTATTACTTGGGACTGTTCATAGGACTGTTTTGTATGGGACTATTTTGTACAGACACGGTTTATTCATCGAAATTTGATGCTATTTTGCGCAGGCATTTTCTCCCTGCAACTCATCGTACAATTCATCCAAACTTGACATCACTGGCTGTGCCGAAGAAACTGTTGCAATTCCGTGCAATTTTCAATTATATGAACGTAATCCACAAATGAGATGAAATAAAAACAAGACTGCTCGTGTCAGGGCGAAGCCCTGAAAGTTCCATGTGCGTTTTAGCGTTTATGGAGCACTGATAACATAAACAAAATAAAAAATAAAATGAAATAAAATAAAATGAAAAACTTTTTTTCTAAAATTTGAAATTATTTCTATGAAAATCATCACCCCACACGCCATATAAAGCACAAAACAATAGATTTCGCTCCTTGTAACAAATCAATTGTGGCAAATAAGCTTCATTCAACCAATTTGGAACGATTTCTAAGACGGATTAAATCTCCGCTTACGCGTTAATAGCGCGAATTATATCGCGCGTTAATTGTCCCAACTTGGTCAAAATGGCAATCTTTAAACCCTCATAACTTTACGAAAAATAATCACAGGTGAAATAAAAACCCACCCCGAGCACAAATATTCCGTTACTTTTGTATCGAAAGTCGGAACAAAAACTTCTAAAAAGTTATTCTGGCAGTTTTGAATGGCACATCAAGTTATGGTTATAAGATACTAAAATATTTAAAAATTATGTGTGCAACTTTCATTAGGATGAAAATAGATCTGCGTAAACCAGTAAATTTTTTTGCTTTAGCCGAACATATGCAGCAAAAATACCAAGAAAAAAATTTAATATGTTTTTTTACAGCAAATAAAGTCTTCAGTATTGTTTTTTTCCACAAAACGCCCTTTTGTTGAGCATCTAAATTGAATTTTTTTGAGCGCATCTACCAAACGTTTGTCAAAATTTAAAATTGTACTCCGTTTTCTTTCTGCGTATCTACAGCATATCCGACAAAAATTGAGACACGCTGCAGTCGTGGTACCCGACTTATGTAACATCAAAACATCCTTAATTAACCTTTTTTCCCTTTTGGCGTAATCATTCTTCTATGGCTTCTGTAAGAAAATTAATTTTTTTCCGCTCGTCCAAAACTCACGGCCAGTGAAATTGGACTACACTACTTCATCATTTAAAACAATATATTTCTACAATACTGAAATTCCGTTTTTTTAGTAGATTTGTATAAATCACCAACAGTTTTTACCGATGTATTTAAAGTTGATATGTCTTGAGTTTATGTTTACGTGTTTTTATGACTTGTTTTGTTGAGTCTTTTTTTGATGACATAACCTGAACAGTACGCTAATCTCATTTAAAATTTTTTCTGTAGTTTCATTTACAAAAATTTGTTTATTTGAGCAAACGAAATATTTAAAATTTATGTGTGAAACTTTCATTTAGATGAAAATAGATCTGCGTAAACCAGTAAATTTCTTTGCTTTAGCCAAACATATACAGCAAAAAAACCAAGAAAAATATTTAATATGTTTTATTACAGCAAATAAAGTCTTCAGTATTGTTTTTTTCCACAAAACGCCCTTTTGTTGAGCATCTAAATTGAATTTTTTTGAGCGCATCTACCAAACGTTTGTCAAAATTTGAAATTGTACTCCGTTTTTTTTCTGCGTATCTATAGCATATCCAAAAAAAATTGAGAATTGCTGCAGTCGTGGTACCCGACTTATGTAACATCAAAACATCCCTAATTAACCTTTTTCCCTTTTGGCACAATTATGGCAAATTTCAGGACTCAAGAAATGCTGATACTCAGACTTATTTTTTTGATCGACTTGAGGGTCCCGTTGACACTTATTGCATTTTGTATGTAACTCAGCGTGTCTTTATGTTACGAAGCAACAAGATTTTTGCTGTAGATTTTCCGAGAGTTTTTGGCACGTTTTGGGTCCTCTATTATTGCTGGCAACTTAAACTATTGCACGTCTGTAGATGTTAAATACCGAGACGCTCCGATGCTCAACCCTGTGTATGTGCTTGGTTCTGATCCATTTTCGATCTATTAGCGTTTACTTCAGTTCTTTTTTAAGAAACATGAGTAGCAAAATTCGCTATTTTAGGAATTTATCCACCGCAAATTGTTTTTTGTAAGCCTAATTTTTCTGCAAAAAAAATATATTTTTTTAAACTTTTTTAACGCCCATTGTCAAAAATGAAGAGCACATTAGGAAAAACAGTAGGTTTTGGGGATTGATTCTCTACAGACATTCACACTCGAACTTAACGACACCGCAAAGCGGTCCCTTGAATAATAAATTCAGCGGGGCCACCGAGGTTCACAACTATCCACAATCTCGAAAAGGTTAGGTTGATTGCAACTATTCTGTACTGTAATATGTAACTTGTCCCCTTTTGGTATTGCTCTTAGGAATTTGAACTTCTGTTTCTCTTGTGCTGCTCTCACTCTGGTGAATTATCAGCATGATGAACTAATATCAATTAAACTTCCAAACAACTTAACTAAATGTTTCTCTCTCTCTCTCTCTCTCTCTCTCTCTCTAGTTACCAATTACCAATTTCACACATTAATTCCACACAACTATCCATTTTACCTGTTTAAATTAATAGTGTTTCTACAGATCACTATTCCATTGATGTACTTCAACTGATCTCTCTAACTTCAAGAATCACTATTCTCAACTCTCATGAGAATCTGTCTTCTAATTTCGTAAATTTTCTCTTCTCCAAAGCTTGTTCTCTAACTAATCGAGAACCAAATATTCTAGAACTCATCTCCAATTGTTCTCTAACTAACTTTGAAAACCAATCATTCGCTTTCGCGGCGCAATTTTTCTGCCTCAGGTTAGACTACCCTCGCTGTGTTTGTCTGTTTGAGTTTTAATTATAATTTCAGTTATGATCGTCCCTACAAGTCCTAACCTTTACTTTGGTACCTCTGTAAAGATCTTAAATGATTTTTTTTTGCTGAAGCACTAAGTAATTTTTCCAAGTT